GGCGGCCCAGGCACAGCCTTCGCAGCCACTTTCACACCTGCACCCCCTGACAGCCCGCCGTGCGGGAGAAGGGAGGCCAGGCTCTGTCTGCAGTGCTGCCGCCTGTTTCTTGAATAAAAAATTCATAGGCATCCTAAAGAAAAGTAGCACTATAGCTGGCAACACATGTCTGCATGTGATTATGCTCCGAGAAAAAAAAATCAGCAGGAGATATTTATTTGAATGGTGAAACATGAATAATGAGATCACCTTCACTGACCTAGCGTTAGATGAAGCACAATGGATGCAATTCTCCAGGGCTCGGAGTACCCCCAGCATTAGGAAGACGCTTTCCCTGCTGGCAGGTCATTCCAAATACTCATTTGCAGCATTTCTGCACTGCCCTTCAAAATAACAGGCACCAATTTAGGTGCACCCGTGCTCCAACCTCTGCAACGATCTCCGTTTCCACAAACTCCAACCACCAGGTAACAAGCCACAGCGAAAGCCTGAAGCAGCACTAGGTAAGGTAACAGCTCACAGCACACATTCCCCTTTGCACCATGGATTATAAAGCTCATTTTCGGTTCGGGTGGATAAACAGCGGTGCCCATGGCTGCTCGGCGACGGGGCTCGGAGAGCGACAAGGCTGAGCTTCCCTGGGAGCGCTGCGTGGCGCTGGACGTGCCGTGAGCTGCCGTGCCGCTGCCCCAGCACAACGCAGGCGGGAGGCAGCCTGCTGCGGCCCTCCAGGGAGGCAAGGTAATTCTCGTGGTTGTTCCTCTGTTCAATGAAAAATGTATTTCTTCAGTCTCAAACAAGTTGAAAACACTTGTAAAATCTAGTTCTCATAATCGTTATGTAGGTAAGTGAATTACATTTGTGTGTTCCCATGGTGACTGATAATGTAAAATAATTAAGTATGAAGAATAATGAGGAGAAAACTACTTCTTCTTTTTAAGGATTAGGGGCTTACAAATTGATTCAGTCTAGCTATTTTTAGTGCATGTAACCTTTGCAAAGAATGTTAGAAAATTAAGAGTAAATTAAACCAAATTGTATTAAAAGGCCTTCACATTGATCAGGAGATTTTATCTGCTGCTTATGTGAAAATTAAAAAAAAATCTTCCTTAAATTTATACATATATTAATATAAATTATTGGCATTTTGCACTAAGTGTTGCCTGCTTGCTTGTTGAGTTCTCAGAGCAATACTCAATTTCTCCTAAGCAGGAGCACTCTGTGCAGCACTGAAGACAAGAACTCTCTCCTATGTACAGGAAGGACATGTTCTGCAAGAACGCTCTGCTAGAATATGGTTTAAACAAAATTTGTGGCTGAAAAGTCTTGGCTGAGGTGTCTCAGAGGAGGACACCTATAAGGGATTGCCCAACAGGCACAATACTATCTGTATGTCCTGTTCACTACAGAAGGACTTTGCTTCTGGCTGACAGACGTGGTTGGAGCGTAAATAAACTTTGTTTTTCCTTCACAGTATTCTATACTGAAAGCAGAGTAATAAACAAGCAAAAGGTTAATAACAAGAAAGTGGCTATATTAGCTCTCAAGTACATTTTAAACTGAATTTTAAGTGGAACCGAAAACCTAAAAAATGCTGAGAACAGAAGGATCAGAGGAAAATTATTTTGCCCCAGGAGTCAATCCTCTACAGGAAGTCAGGAACTATGAAAAACAAGAGAGAAGCGGGTATTTTTTCTTCACTGCTCCAGCAATAGAACAATATCCACAAAGCACTTCAATATTTTCTTCTCCTGCCATACTGATACTTTAATTTGTGATGTTATTAATGGTTGTAGAAATACAAACTCTTGGCTTAACTGAAGAAAATAGGCAAAATTTTTAATTCTCTGCCAACAATAAAACAATAAAAATGCAAGGCTTTCAAACAGAATTTGAATTTTATATTCATTTCTGCAAGCCTTTCAGTACAATGTTAGTATGTATGATTCATCTGTGAGAAAAACAACAATTGCATAAAAGGAATGACATTGTCACATACACAGTTTGACATCCTGAAAACCCCCTAAAACTGGTATGGAGGGGGTGCCGGCATAGAAGCAGTAAGATACCAGAGAGAGTGAGCACCCCTATCTTAACTTTGTTAAGTCTGTAAAACAGCAGAACTTGTCCACAGGTTTACTCTGGCTTCAACAGTGGAAAGTATAAAACCAGCTGCATACATTTATTCCCCTTCTCAACCAGTTTATACAGTTTGTTTACTCCAGTTTGCATAACTCAAGGTAACAACAACAATCTGATTTGTAGTTTTACTGCCGAAAAGCTCTTTAATGTATGCTGATGGCTGGTGGTCTTGGCGGGCTGGCCATCGAGCAATGGCCAGAAAGCAGTGTCCTCTGCTAGGCCCTTCCCACACCCAATCTAGGGTCTACAGCAAAAGTGGCAGAAGGGCCAGAAATGACAGGTTTCTGGTTCCTGAACAATCCTAAACATCAAAATCCTCATCAGAACCAAAGTTATCAAAAGATACCTTTAACAGAATCAAAACAGTCACAGTGAGATTACAACTCAGCAAACTTATGTTGTACATTTCTGTACAGGGAGGTAAGAGAAGGGAGGATTCAGGCAGAGAGTTCTGATCCCACTGGGCATGACTGGCTTTAAAGATTAATACTGCTTTGGAGCACACACGAAGGGCTGTGGACTTAACCTCCACTTACAGGATTTTCATATAAGAACAACAGTCAAAGAGATTTTAAGTATGTGGAATTCTCATTTTCAGTGTGTCTTCACCTTGAGGATCTACGAACGACTTTGTCAGCACTTTTAAGCTCCAGAGTCTGTCAGGATGCAAGCACCTCTCTCTACTTCTGCAGACACTCAGACCTGTAACATCTAGTACTTGGATACAGACTCAAAGCACACTTCTAAATGGAGGGAGCAAGCTCCTTCAAACAAAAGGTAACATATTCTTTTTAGTAAAGGAAATAAAATTAAAAACTTACCAAAAAATGAGTGTTTCCAGAAAAGAGATTCCAACATCAGATGCACCAACCACCACAATTCTAGTGTTGATAGATGCTTTAGATACTAGTACCAGCTTTCGATTTATGTGGTTCAAAGAATACCTCGACTGTAAAAAAAGCATGTAAAATGAAACAGAAATGCATTTTGAAAAACCAGCAAAAGTCTGCTAAGAATAATTAAACCATCAGTAATGCATTACCTTGCATTCATACAAAACTTATTATGGCTCACTGACGTGACTAACACTACAATTTTTCTGTGCACAGCACAAGATAACACAGTAGATAAATGGTACTAAAATGTTGAACTACGTGCATGTTTAATAGGTCACAGAAAATTAGCAGAGCTTAATGGTTTGGCTTGTCCTGGAAAAGATGCTATGGAGCCCTTGTAGGAAAGGAGAAAACATTGCTGCTTCTATAATTCACTACCATTCAGCTAACACCTGGGAAACATATATTTACATAACGTTAACACCATTTTTATACCTTCTAGAGCAGTTTTTACTCTTGCTGTTTTATTTATGGAAATAGTTTTACCTGCAAATTAATTAGGAACTTGTATCTTGAGTGTCTTTGTGTGTTTAATTGAAAACTCTCTTCCAAAATGATAAAATTAACCTTCCTTTTTCTTAAATACAGAGCAGTTGCACAGAAAGCCAGGCTGTCAAATGAGTAAACTAGTATCTCAATGCCACTGAGATCAATACTCTGACCAAAACTCTTACTATAAAGTTTTTAATGACTAGCTTCTCAGTTTCCATTCTTCTCAATGCACACAATGATTAAGACAATAAAGCCCATGTTTTTTTGGTTTTTTTTGTCTCTAGGTCCCACTAGCTAATAGAGATTCTCAAAACAAATATGCAAGGGTCAAGAGATATTACTGCATTTGACAATTTTTCTTCCCTGAACTATATTTAGCTTTCAAATTTCTGATGAAAGGCAGCGAAATACTTTCCATCTTGCAGTACAATACAGCATTTTTCTTATTGCTTTGGGTTGTATACATTCACATTTCACAGAATACATTATTGCAGCCTGATAAATGCACTGAAGAGACAAATAGACAATAGAGCTACTTTTATTATTTGTCAGACACTTATCCTATATATTTCTGCTGTGTCACTTAGGCAGGAAGCAATCTAAGACTTCTAACAGGTTTTCCTCTATTACGAATAGGAGACAGAAAGTTAATAAAATTAAGTCCTCTAAATTCCTCCTATGAAATTACAGTAGAAATATATTCTCTATATATTAGTTGACAGACTAACTCAATATACTAAGAATAAGTATTTTATTTTCAAGCTATGGTAATGACATTGGCTCTCTCAAGAGGTACATGGCACACTGAGATCCCCAAGAGATCTTCTATACCATGTCTTTGCAATGGTGGAGACCCACTCCTGAAATTCAGCACAGCCTCCCTACAGAAGTGGGGAATTATCTGTATAACACACCAGAGTACTGTCCTGTACTTTAAGGAAGGATTATGGACCGATTACTTGCAAACTATCATCACTGTATAGCAAGTAATTTACAGTGTCACAAAATTAAATATCTTCTTTGGTCAGGCAACATGATTTTTTACTGCCAGATAAATGTTCCTCTGGTTGCTGTTCCTGACAGTGCAAGGATGACATCCAGTGGTGAGTCAGATTCATCTCGACGACTGGGCTTCTCTAAGAAAATTCCAGAAGATGGAATAAAAGTATATGAACCCGTGGTGGGTGCTTAATGAAGTCAAACGCATGAAGCCTAGCACACGCCCGCAGGCTCACAGGCAGCCCTGCACCAAGGATCGACTTGACTAGCCAGGGCTAAGCCACAGAATGGCAGTCATGGTGCCCAAATATGCCATCTACTAGCCCCTACAAACACGCCTAACAACCTAATCCAAAGCCATTGCTTTTTAATGTGGTTAAACACTTCTTACAGCAGGATTTGCCAGTAAAAAGGGGTTTGACCATAAATGAAAATATATCTATAACAATTCCACAGTTCAGAAACTGAAAAAACCTTTATTTCACAGAAAATGTACAACACTGGAAGAGACTGTAAGAAATTAGAAGAACCAATGCCAATTATTAAAGGCATGCCCTACTGCTTAAAATAAAACTTGGACTGTGTTTTTTATAACATACTAAATGGGTATGCCCCGATGACAACATTTGATGTTGTTCTACAAATGCTGACACTTGCAAGATCTCACAGTACCACAAGCAGCTGCTGAGGATACTGTGCTTATGGCCCTAATCTTAGTATTCAAATTTTTGGGGTTGTGAATTCTGCAGACAAGAACTCCACCAGGCTTGGTTTTGCTGCACAGAGAGAGTTGCAGCTTTCTAGAAAAGCAATACTGTCTGGAGAAAAAATTATTAGTGATGTTTTTGCTGAAATGTGGCTTTTAACAAAATTAAAGAACACGAAGAGAAACTACTTGTAATGCACCTAATCAGCCAAAATAAATAGACAGGAATGTCAGCAGCTAATAGGATAAAGCCAGCAGACCTCACAGCAATGCCAAGTTCAAACATCTCCTACTGCAGTGCTGTGTTGGTGGGGTTTTTTTTTCCAAATCTACTTCAACAACGAAATATAAAGCAGTAATACAGTTTCCTAGGGAAGAATTGTATCTAATTTATGAAATGGCTTTTATATCGATGGTACAAAGGCAGTATATGAGTAGAATATAACCGTTTTTGTTCACCACACAATGGCCCCAACACCAACAGCTGTCATGCTTCAGAAATCACCTTTCTAACAGCTAAGTACACTAAATAGCCCCAGGGAGTAAGGAATTAGGTGGATTGGTCCCATAATACCACCTTATTTTAACAAAATGTCAGGACAAATGACTACATACGTTCCCCAGAGGAGTAATCAGACATCATAATTGATAGGTCAATAGCAAACTCTAACTTGTTTATTCTGTATCCAATTTATTGAATAAAACAGCAATCATTAACTAATGTAAGGCAAAAAGCAATAATTGCCATTGTTAGAAAAGGCATATATAGCTCAGAAAAAAAAAGTGTTTTCTTTGATTATCAAAAAGATTACTTTCCCTCCTTCCCACACTGGCATCTGTCAGCCTTGTCCATTGCAGCACCTGGCACATTGTTTCCACCCGGGAGGGCAGAGGGCCATCGACACCCTCAACTGCTGGCAAAGGTGGCCTTTCCTGACGAAACCATGGGGGATGTTTTATCATGGAGACAGCCACTCCCATCCAGTTAGAGGTTTTCTAATTTTACCTCCATTAAAAATGCTTACGCATTTCTCAGAATACTCAGAAAACACAAAGTCAGCATGTAAATCATGTCTTTCACGTATGATCTCACAGCACAATATGTGCCAGAGTAGGATTAATTTCTAGCATTAAAAATTCACACATCCTTCTAAGCTACGTAACCAATGGAAGAAGATACATGAAATAATTATTTGGTTTTAGCAAACACATTTGTATGCATGTTTTCCTTTGCATTTTGAAACCAGGTAAAGCATCACACATTCATCGTGCGTACCCAGATCTCCCACCTGGGTACTGCCCTGTATTTTCTACTCAGTTTGCATATTGCCTGGGAATGTATTCATTGTACATGTACTCAACAATATACATTGGTGGTACAAACTAAGATGGAGAGTATTTTGTAGTTCCTTTTAGTTCTGTTTTTAAACATTGGACCCTGGGCTATTTGTAGGATTTCTAAAATTATTTATTGCAATTGTTCTACAATAGGTCTGGTTTTATAGCAAACGTTACCTTCATGTAAACAGAAAAAATGGAAACTGAACACCCAAAAATGAAAAGCCAAGTTAGACAGAGGATTTCAACCTTCACAGAAAAGGAGCAATGCAATGTTCTGAACTGAGTACTGGTAAATATATCCTAGCAAAATATCAGGAGCGTGTCAAAGAGCTGTTACACTCGTCACTGCAACTCTGCATGCAAAGACTCCATAATGCAGCAAAATTTAGATTTTACTTATTATACAATGAGGACTTGGGCCTCATTCAGCTAAACACACTTAATTTTTTGCTAAATTTTAGATACGTTAAAGTGTCCCTGAATTTAGAATGACTGCTCAGGGTACTGCAAGATGGGACTGACTCATTCGATATGTACTCAGCATCTTCACAGATCCCTTGATACCTCTCAGGAAGTAAAAGGTACCACGGGGGAGGACCACCCCTGCCCTATGATGGGGGATTCTATGCCTATTTGCGATGCTCTTGTTTTAATTGAACATTTGTTACTGAGAAAAAGTACTACTTCGTTACTTCCGAGTGATAGCTACTGCTGTACGGAATGAACACTGTTACTGTAAAAACCATCAGAAGGAGCAAAAATTATTAGCAGACCTGTTCCTAGGTTAGTGCTAAGATCAGTGATAGTGGCAAGCAAACAAGAAAGTGAACAGAGCTATTTTAATTTCAAGCTCCATTTGAATCACAAGGAAAAATGAAAATCAGTGTTTACCAAGAAAATATGAACAAAAAATAATGGAAAGTGCATGCCTTTTCAGCCTGCATTATTTTTTTTGTTCTAAATATCAGGGACATTCCAAAAAGTCTCATTAGGAATGTCTGTAAACATGTTTTCAAAAGCTGTTTCCAAGCATTCAAACATTTATACAAACACCAGAAATGGAAGGAAAGAAAAAGAAATACAACTGTGATGAAGACTGTAGCCTGTATTTTGTCGTCTTCATCAAAGAATCATTCTTTAGTAACTGTGGCTCTATAAAACCAGTTAGCACAGATTATACCTAGCCTTTATGTAATATTTTTCAACCATAGATCTCAAAGGCCTTTATGAATGAAGTCAGTATTATTATACCAATCTTCATATGAGTAAATGCTGATCTTCAGCTTCTGGAAAAAAACTCTCTATTTTTATGATTAATTTTTATCTCACAAGGTATTCTTGGAGAGAGGGGAAAACAGTTAGTAAAGCCAAGTTAGCCAAGATTAAAAAAAAATACACTAAAATGTAGCAACATGTAGGAACTTCAGTCCGAAATATCTTCCAGATACTATTTAGCTGGTCTCCCAATATAAATGTGGAAGCAAACACAGGAGAGGATGGGCTGGATGGCTCTCA